GCCTTAGCCGGTTGAGCTATAAGCGCCGAGCCGGCACAGTGGTTCATGCCTGTAATCCCAGCACTTGGGAGGATTGCCTGAGCTTACAAGTTCAAGATCAGCCTGAGCCAGAGCGAGACCTCATCTCTTTAAAAAATAGCCAGGAGTTGTGGTGGGTACTTATAGTCCCAAGCTACTCAAGAGGTTAAGGCAGGAGGATCGCTTAAGCCCAGGAGTTTAAGGTTACTGTGAGCTGGATGCCACAGCACTCTACCAAGGATGACCAAATGAGACTCTGTCTCCCAGAAAAAAGGAAAGATGAAAATACAAGCGTAGATATTCTAATAGAGTATTGTTGAATCTCTCTTAAAACCTATTTTCTTTCCTCTGGTGTAATTGTGAGATTGATATGGGGTGGGCTGTTAAAAGTAATATGTTTACATCTGCAAAGGGTGTGGGTGTGCTTGCAGTTGAGATAGTGATAGTGATGATTAGAGAGGAAGGAAGACAGTTGAGATGACTTGGTATTTATTAATTGGATGTGAAGGATAGAATTTGGGAGTAACTTGGTAAGTTTACTTTAAGGAAGGTAATTCTACAAACCGGATACTTACTGGACTACTTATATTGCATAATGAATATTTGACATTGCAGCTTTTCAGAATTACAACTTGAGGGATAATATTAAGACCTGTTATGTCTAACAGTATCTTTTTTCCCTAGACTATGATTGAAGCTCATGTTGATGTTAAGACTACCGATGGTTATTTGCTTCGTCTGTTCTGTGTTGGTTTTACTAAAAAACGCAACAATCAGATACGGAAGACCTCTTATGCCCAGCACCAACAGGTTCGCCAAATCCGGAAGAAAATGATGGAAATCATGACCAGAGAGGTGCAGACAAACGACTTGAAAGAAGTTGTCAATAAATTGTAAGTGTTTCTTTCCTTCCTCACACAATAGGACTCTGAATATTTGATGATCCCTCTGATGAGAGAAAGCATGTGGTACAGGGTGGGGCCATATCACTGTACATGAGTGTTAACGTGTGTCAGTAAATGGAATATAATGACTATATATATATATTTTTTGGATGATGCTATCTCATAGCAGATAGACTTGCATAGAAAATGTGTTAGCTTTAATTAAAAAATAACACTGAAAAAAATACCAAAAAGCAAATGCTGAATAGACAAAACCTTGCGTGATTAAATGCATGGGCATAAGTGATGAAAAAAGTTTCGGTCCCAGATGATGTCCGATGATAACTTACATTTTTCTGATATTCCCATGCATTACATAGTAGGCTAAGAGGGTGTAATGAAAAAAGTAAGGCCAGACTATTACATGAGGGCTTGTGTGGGATAAGGAGGTAGGTGTTATTGTGTGTAGTTTATTCTAAGGCTTCTGTTTAAAGGGAATGGCTTATCTCCTTACAACTGAGAATGAGGACTTTTCAAGAAATATTAATTTCTGGCATTATTGGCTGTTTTCAGGATTCCAGATAGCATTGGAAAAGACATAGAAAAGGCATGCCAGTCTATTTATCCTCTCCATGATGTCTTCGTTAGAAAAGTAAAAATGCTGAAGAAACCCAAGTTTGAGTGTAAGTAACAAATTGTAGAATTCCTTAAAGAAAAAAATGTGGAGCCAGATACATTGTGGAGGGGTGTTTTTTTCTCTTGACCTTTGTATCAGTCTTTTTTTCTCCCTGTCATGACTGTGGGATTGAAGGCAATTGTTTCAAGATACAATGCTATAACTAATAAAGTTTTTTCTTCCTTTTAGTGGGAAAACTCATGGAGCTTCATGGTGAAGGTAGTAGTTCTGGAAAAGCTACTGGGGACGAGACAGGTGCTAAAGTTGAACGAGCTGATGGATATGAACCACCAGTCCAAGAATCCGTCTAAAATTCAGGCTTTTAATAATGACAAATAAAGAATCCTATTTGTGATTTTTTTCCCTGAACATTCTTTTTAAATAGTCTTGACAGAATCAAGAATCAGACACTATGATATGATAGTAAACTTTTCTGTCCTATTGTGTAGATTTTATTAAGTAGTTGAAAAGGGCTCCTGTTCACGATTTTAAGCTGTAGTGATCTGGAAGTGTTTATATAAATGGTTCATGAAAGGTGAAATGCTTTACTATATGCTTTAACATTTTGATGGTTCTCAAATCATCTGGAAGGCCTGTTGGGCTCTGACCTTGGAGTTTCTGATTCAGTAGTTCTGGGGGAGGCCTGAAAGTTTGCATTTCTAAGAAGTTTTTAGGTGATGCTGATGATCCAGAGATTACTACTATTTGGAGAACCAGTGTGTTGAACTGAGTAATAGAAAGGGAAGAGCCCACTGGCTTTTAGGGTTTTTTTATTACTCTAAATTATACCTTTTGCCTCCAGCTATTTTTTAGCAAATTGCATAGATAAATGGATATAAACATACTACTTTGCACCTATACTGCAGCTAAATTTGTCAAGAGAAACTGGTTGCTAGTCTATTACCAGTTGGGCATGTGCTGTTGCCCACCTCTAGTCACCCATTTTGAATCTTCACCTCAAACCTTCCAATTTCTCATTCCTTGCTCAGCTGATGACTTTATTTCCCATAATTGGTAACAAAATTGATATATTACCCTTCTGTGTGAGTGCTTGTATTTTTCTGGCTTAGTCAGATCCCTAAATGAATTGTGTGAAGACAACCTTTCCGTTGAGTGTTAGATCCCATACCTGGTTTAATCAAGCTGTTGCTCCTACCTGTCCTTGCACCAGCCTATAAACTGAAAATACTTCTATAGCCTTCCACAGACTCTCAGGTGCTATAGCAAAGCTCAAAGGGATTTTTTTCATGTTCTTGTATGATTTTACTTGTGTGGTTTTGGGGGGGGGGCGGAGTCTGTCGCCCTGGGTGAAGCCCCACGTTATAGTTCACAGCAATTGCAAACTCCTGGGCTCAGGTGATCCTCTTGCCTCAGCCTCCTAAGTTAGCTGGGGCTACAGGTGTGTGCCACTACGCCAGATTAGTTTTTCCTATTTTTAGTAGAGATCAAGTCTTGCTCTTACTCAAGCAATCCACCTACCTCAGCTTCTCTAAAGAGTGCTAGGATTACAGGGGTGAGCCACAGGTATCTTGTCTACATTCTTTGAATTTTAATTTTTTGTATTTTGTGTGCCTTTGCTTCAGTTAAGCTTTTCTCCCACACCACTCCAAAAAAGCTATGTTGAAAATTACCAGCGATTTTGTTGGTGAATCCAGTGATCCATTTGCAATCTTCATTTTATTTGACTTGTAATAGTGACACTTAGTTGATTTCTTCCTGTATTTAAGTCTTCCAAGCTTTCTCTTGGATGGACCTTGAATCAGCTTTGGAAGGTCCTAGGGTTTGATCCTTGGAAATGTTTATGCTCTTCACTAGATACTTTCTTAGCTTTAAATAAAATGGTAGAGAATTTTATATTTCTAGCCCATACGTTTCCTTAGTATGTCTACATCCAACTGTCTACTTGGTATTCAACTTGGATGTCATTAGCATTTTACATAAGATGATAATTTGGGGGGGGCCAAGTGTGGCTCACATCTGTGTTCCCAACTACTCCAGAGACTTAGGTGTAAGGGTTCCTTGAGCCCAGGTGTTGGAGGCCTAGTGAGCTATGATCATGCTGCTGCATTCCTGTGTGGGCAACAAGACCTCTAGGAAATGGTACTCCTGATCTTGATACTGCCCTCCGCCCTTTGGTTGCATAAGCTAAAGTTCTGGTTATCCTTGACTATTTGTAGTTTATCCAAAATACATCTGGAGTTGAACCAGTTCTTTCCAATATCAAATGCCATTGCTATTACTTTGGAGCAAGCCACCATAACCACTTGAATTAACTATCTGTGACTTCTCTCATGGAAGCCTATTTTTGATGGTTAGTTCAAGTCCTTGACTTGGACTTGTCTCTTCATTCTCTGCTTACTCTTCCAGCCAAACTATCTTTTAGCCTTGTTTTTTTTTTTACTCGGAATATTATTCCCTTAGGTGGCCACAGGGCTTACTCCTTTAAGTCCTTTAAATGTCTATTCTAACGTCCTCTGTAGACCCTAGTAATAGGTTTCATTCTTTTAAAATTGTACTCTTACCACTCTGGGAGGCTGAGGCGGGTGGTTTGCCTGAGCTTATGAGTTCAAGACCAGCCTAAGCTAGAGTGGGACACTACTTAAAATAAGTGGGCATCGTGGCAGCCACCTAAAATCTAGCTACTTGGGAGACTAAGGCAAGAGAATCGCTTGAGCCCAGGAGTCTGAGGTTGCTCTGAGCTATGTGCCATGGCATTCTATAGGGGGTGACAAAGTAAGACTGTCTTCAAGGAAAAAAAATTGTACCCTACTCTCCTGCACTCTTATTTTTTTCTCCATAGTTAACATTCACTTTTGTCTATCAGAAAAGCTGTGTGAGGCCAGTGCTTTTGGAGGGGTTGGAGAGTGATCTGATTCACTGCTGTACCCTCAGTGCCTAGGAGTGCAATGCTTCTTGAATAAAGAAATGAATACTGTTTGCCGTTAATGTCCCTCAGTGAAGAAGCAAATGCCTTAATATTTTCTACTAAAGGCTGGTTTAGACATAGACTTAAGTCCCAAATGGCAGGGGCTTCCTCCCCAGGGTGGACGAGAGTTGAGCCTAAAGAAGTCAGTGGGGATGGGGACCAGGAATTGAGTTACATAAATGATACATCAGTTTTTCTCTTAATCCTTTCAGGCTGGACAACATTTAGTAAGATAGACAGTAACTGACAAGCTCTCATCTACACCTCTGAATAGAGACAATGTAGTATTCATTCTATGAAGACAGCCAGGCACAATGGCTGTAATGCTAGCACTCTGGGAGGCTGGGTAAAGCTCAGGAATTTGAGACCAGCCTAAGCAAGAGTGAGACCCTGTCTCTACTAAAAATATAAAAATTAGCTGGGCATTGTGCTGGGAACTACTCTTGAGGCTGAGGGAGTTTGAGGTAACTTGTGAGCTAGGCTGAAGCCAGGCCACTCTAGCCTGGGGAAACAGAGTGAGACATTATCTCTGAAAACTTTATCAACATTTTATCAATACAGTAATTACGTGTGAAGCCCTCTAAGCCAACTCAGTGTACTGTTGTTACATCTTCCACTGCTAAATATGAGTTTGATGTGTACATGCTTGTGCACTGAATGCTCAAAAGTTTCAGAGGGAATTCTCCCATTTAGGACACTGGTATGTTTACAATGGTGTTAATGGAACAAACTCCTAAGCTATTTGTCACCAGGGTGTGTGTTCACATGTTTGTAGTCTCTGATGTCCAAAGTTTTCACTATATGAAAGAAAGATGTTCTGTTTTTTGCCAACTCAGAATTCTCAATGTCAGGTCTTGAGTGGGGTTTCATCACACCTCCACCAATGGGTGTTTGATAAACTGCAATAAATTCAGGGGCCTATTCACCAAGAAGTTTCTTGGGGTGAGGATGGATTCAGGGTTTAATGCTGTCTTTAACCATTCACCACGTAAAAAAGGCTCCATACTTTACTGGAGGTACTAGAGACAGTATATGCCTCACTACATATCAGGCCTTGCTGGCCAAAAATACTGTGTTCTGAATACAGCAGCCTTTGCATCATCCTGATTTTCCACGTAGTGGACCTCATGGAAAACTTTTTTCTCCCATTTCACCTCCTGAAGCAGACCTGCACCTGCTGCCTCCCTGGGCCTTTGCAGCGCAGTGGGGAACCTGCAGCCCTGGGAGCACATGGGACCTCTGATCCATGGCCTTCTGACTAAATCCAAATTTTACTGAACACTGAGTTGAGTATCTGTTGTGCTGCTGTTGCTGTCCGACCTGTGCACCAGCTATGCAGAACTAAAGAGAATGTGGTCACTGCTCAGCTGGGCAGAACTCTCATAAGGTGGCACCTGTGGCTCAAGGAGTAGGGTACCAGCCCCATATACTGGAGGTGGTGGGTTCATAACCCAGCCCTGGCCAAAAACTGCAAAACAACAAACAACAACAAAGTTACGAGAACTTATTCTTTTGATGAACCTCGTCATATTTTTGCTAACCATCAGGTGTGCTTGAAAGAAAGAGTAAAGACACCATTTTAGGGCTCTAACTATGAAAATATAACTGCTGATTGTACCTTCTCAGTCACTCCTGTAGAAATGACCATGGCAGGGCCACTTCTCTAGTAAGACTGATACCAGAAAAGTAGCACCTCAGCCGAGCGGGGCTGGGGGACCTGCCACCTCTGTCTTGGCGGCAGCAGCCGGCAAGGAACCGGCAGGCTGGAGCAAGCAGAGGGAGCTTTCCTCTCCCACCAGAGGCTCCAGTAGAGCAGCGCTAGAGGACCTGCTGGCTCTGCCTTAGACCAACAGGCTGGAGCAAGCAGAGGGAGCTTTCCTCTCCGAGGGGAGGCTCCAGTAGCAAAAAAGACCAGACCCCCTGCTGATTCCTCCAGTGCATCCTGATTGGTCCATTTTCAATCCTGCTCTTGATTGGTCTATTTTCTCCTAAAAATAGACCAATCAGCTCAGCTTTCAGCTCATTGGACAATTGCCCCTATATAAACCCCTGAGTAAAGAGCCTAGGGGCAGATCATTGCAGATCATCATAGATCTGTCAAGGAAGATAGAGCAGAAGAGCAAGACTTTAGCAGATCATTGCAGACCTTTGAAGAAGATGGAACAGGAGAGCAAAGACCTCAGCAGACTGTCACAGACCTTGAGGGAGAAAGAGGAAGAGCTGTAACAATTATACCCTGCTCTGCAAGGAAGTTTGGCTCTTTGTAAGAGCTGTAACACTTACACCCTGCTCTGCAAGGAAGTCTGGCTCTTTGTAAGAGTTCTAACACTTATATCCTGCTCTGCAGGGAAGTTTGGCTCTTTGTAAAAGCTGTAACACTTGCATCCTACCCTGCAAGGAGGTTTGGCTCTTTGTAAGAGCTGTGACACT